TATATATATATATTTATATATATATTTATATATATATATACAGTCATATTTAGTTGTCGTTGCTGCAGCAGCAACGGTAAAACACCTCTACACTACGGTAGATTGTGGCAGTGTTAGATAGATATACAGATACATGAAGAGACGTTGCTGGAAACAATGTTCAGTGCACAGTTGGATATTTTTGACGTTTCTTAGTTGCAATACTTACACTGTATTTATAACTGACCAATTGTCAGCATCGGCTCCGCCCACTTTTTTTTCTGTTTCGCTTTCTTAAGGCGCAATACGGTTATTGGGGTATTGGGTGGAAGACGTTAAATATTCAGTGTCCTCCTACCAATTTCTGTTTTTCTTAAAGGGTGTTTATCCGTTAAACGGTTAAGCGACAAAACTGAAACTGAACGGTACAATCATCTCTGCCACCAGACTTGTTTGAAAACAGCAGCAGCAACATCATCACCAGTAACCAGCCATCTGTACAATGACCGATTCTGAAGAATCACCACGGACAGTGAGGATCAGAAATTTTTTTCTTTTTTTTTTAGTCAAAATTCTGATTTGCTTCTGATAAATTAAAAAATTTTTTTAATTTTGAAATGTTTTAATTATACTATTGTTTTAAAAAAACAGCTTATTTATATAATGCTAATATACCAATTCTTTTGTTTTGAAAATTGATCATTTCAAAAATTATAATTAGAAAAACTTCTGTTTTTTTCAGAGTTCTTTAGTAAGTATGGAAGAAATCGAACCGTATGTTAGGCGGAAAAGAGCAGCATCAGAGAAAATTAACAAACTTCAAGGATTGAATGAAGAGGTGCGAATCTGTTTGCTAATTGAACAGTCATTGCTTGTTCGAATTTTCTTGATACTGTTTTTTTTCGTCTTAAATATGTAAAAAAAGGTCTTTGTTTATTTTTTAAGTTGTTACTTATTATTTCTAAATTTTTTTGTATATTTATATAGGCAAAAGAAAATAAAGTAGAAGTTTTAGTAGATGAAATATATTGATAATTCCTTCTGCCGTAATTCTGTGCCTGTCAGTAGCGGAATACAGATTCGTTTCAGTTGTTTTACTTCAGCTTCCATGTATCATTTCTTTACTCTGATCTAATATTATCATTAATTTTTTGTCCAGCTTTTTTGCTCAGGCTTTAAGAACCGGTTGGTTTTTGAAAGAAAGAACTTGATCAAAATCAGCGCTATTTTTACACTTACTTTATACTAATTACTTATTACGGAGTCCTGGGCCTTCTTATTCTTCTTGCTAAATCAATTTTTTTTCCTATTTCTTTTTAAAACTGGCTGTTTTTTTCTGCTTTAAAATTACTAGGGCGCTTAAACTTAGAATGAACAATGATTAGTTAACGGATCGAGAATTGCTATCTATTTGAACTGTTTGTGATAACGACAAATTGGAGACAAGGCATATTCTTACCAAATTTGAGACATGATATATTCTTATAGCATTTGTGTTGCTCTATTTAGATTTTTTTAAAGTTTTTCTATTTAGGAACAAATGGCATTACGGATGAACATAAATTCTCGAGAGAGAAAACGAATGCACGATTTAAATGATGCCTTAGATGAACTTCGTCGAAGTTTACCGTATTCACAGACACCGAATTCAAGAAAAATGTCGAAAATAAATACATTGATCCTGGCAAGTAGTTGGTAAGTTTACTGGTGTCTGTTGATTCTAGTAAGTACTTTAGTGTCAGTGATAGGTAAAAATTTATTTTTTAGTGAGTTTATTACCCAAAATTCGCTAAATTCTCCTTTTTTTCTTTTTTTTTTAAAATTATTACGGTAGTTTTGGAAAGTTGAGTTACTGTTTATAATTTTACTTATAAACGAAAATGGCATTTTTATTTTGTTGTTTGTTTCTTATCAGGATACGACAGTTAACACACGCAAACAACGAACTGAGAAGGCAGCTGGAAGAAATACGAGGAAGTTCAAGCGCTGAAGCTGATAGTGCCAAGTGGCCAAAGCTGTCTGCACCACAAACACCGCCAGTGAGCAGTACTTCACATCTGCACTCATTGAATGTTTTAAGGGCTCCAGTTTTTCCGCTCCATGTAATGCCAGTACCGCAGAAGTCACTGCTCCGAATAGCACCGTTACCTTGTGTTAAATCCATCAATGGAGTCTGTTTCTGTATCAACTGTATTATAACTGAGTCATCGAATTTGAAAGAAAATAATGATAAATAAAAAGAAAAACTTTATTGGTTTTATTGGTTACAAAAGTTGTAAATACTTAAATACAGTGTCAGTGATTGCTTATTTTCTTGGTG